AAACCCCGCCCCGAACCTACAGACGGTAAGGAACCGGATGCAGGCAGGAAGGGTGATCCAGGGGAAAGACAAGGGGGCGTGGATGGAACCGAAGCAACCAACACCCCCAAGTCCCAAAACGAACTACAACGGGGCAGCCCCGGGGCTCCCGGGAAGGAAACCACGAGAACGTTGCCACCACCAAGGCTCAAGTGCAACGCCCCTGCTGCCCGCACCCTCTTTGTTAGCACAACTGGGTAACCGAGCCACAACGAGCAACCAAACTCGCAGGACTCCGGGTCGAAGGTGTCACCGACCCCACAGGCAGCAGACAGAGGCAAAACAGAGTCACCCAGAGACAAAGGGTGAGAGCAACCCTCAAACTCGCTGGAAGTGAGGGGGGAACTCTGGGGTCACATCCATCGGACCCGCGCGCCCCCAGGGGTTTCCCAGGGTCCCAAGCGTTTACTATAAGAGGACTCGCGCTCAGGTAATCCCAGGCAGGGTACTGCTAACCGGCACCCAAAGCTACCAAACAACTTTCTAAGAGCTGAACCCCCGGGACGTGTACACTCACGGGGACCTAGCAGGGGTACCTCCAGAAAATACTCAGAACACAAGGGACACAAGGGGCAAGAACGAAGGCAGACCCCCCCACCAGGTAGATAAACAAAAAGAAAAAGAAAACCCCGCAAGAGGACAGCGTACCCAAGCGGAACAGAGCCGGCCGCTATGATTGGTAAAGACAAGCTGCACAGTACCCTGCGCCCCACCAGTGCAAAAACTGCCCCTTACTCTAAGGCGAACAAGGGAGACAGAACACCCGAGCACACAAAGAGCGGCCGAAAACCAAGCAGTAAACGGCCAAGCAGGGGCAGGACCCAAGGAACTTGTGGAAGGTGGCCCCAAGCCCCAAGGGCAGTACTTACAGGGCACCTAGGGAAGGGAACCCTAGGCGCATGCAGCCCGAGTACTGGAGAATCACTCCCGGCTCACGCACCACCTAGAAAACAGACACCACACTCTAGGTACAGTACTGAAACAACCACTGGAGCCGGAGCACATAACCGTTGCCTATAGCATCAGCCGAAGAACTGATGGGTGGATAGCCGGCGTGGGAGGTCTGGGGCTCCCCCTTCCCCCTCCCAGGGAGGGGGGAGCTGCGCAGACAGCGGCGCGGTGACGTATGACGTCATACTAGTTTCCTTGTTTTCTGTTGAAGAGTTCTATCCACTAGTTCGGCTTTAGGTAGCAATTTTCACCAGAATAGGGGTTTGTTTTGGAATGCTTACCTTTCTGGATGCTTGACCCGGTCGATGGCAGACATAGAATGCTTCCAACCACACGGGGGTTTCTATAGGCCATTGCTCCCTTTGCCTCTCTGAGGGGGCCAGGTTCTGGCCGTGGTCCCCGGTAGGCCCTAGAACTCCATACACATGACTGATGCCAAAGTCTGACATTAGCATATCAGCCGGTAAAGCTCCGGGGAGCCGACGGGGCTCCCCCCAGAAAACAAGTCAACTCTGACTAAACAACTCTTCGCGATTTTCACAAGAGGTAAGCACTGAATCATGGAAACATTATATTATAATTACTCTTACCAGTTTCTACAAGACTCCTCTCAAACAATGTATTTTTAAACATGTTTAGGTATACACAGCAATGTGCTGCTTCCCTATTCTGTATAAAGGACCACACAGTGTAGATCAAAAACCAGCTACAAGCTCATCCAACATCCTCACCTCACAGGATGGCCAGTCATACATGGAATTAGGAGAGAACAAAATACTTAATGCTGATCTATTAGCCTCCACTGGCAAAATCTGGGTGCAGCACAAGAATATCTTCCAATATTCCTGAGTGTATGAAGTAATTACAGAGCTCAAAATACCTCATACCATTTGGTATGAAGTCACTGATAACAGGGTAATCACAGATATAGTGTTGGAGAATATGTTCTCTCAAGTAGGACTGAAAATAGATGTTTTTTTCCACCAAGAGGGCTATAAACCCATGGAACTGCCTACCCGCTGAAGCCGTAAATGCCAAATTCCAGCTAAAAAATATCATTAAGACAATTGGCGGGCCCTTTAACAAGCTGCCGGCTTTCTGTCCTCTTCGAGGCCACTAGATAGTTATTGGCCCTTGGGTAAATTCAGTAAATATATACAATAATTGTCAGCGCATCTTCCGAGCAACAAGGACAGCTACACAGTATCTCTTAGAATTACGTAGGTAAACAACAAATGTAACATATTTGTTTAATACAATGTCAGTGCTGGCTGTAGAAGTTGAAAAAACATTGTTTTACTTCGAAATATACTAATTTTATACGAAAATTCGACGTAAATAGGAGGCAGTAGAGCTCCGATAAGCCAGCACTAAATCTTCAATATGAAAAATGTTGCTGCTCTCTGATTGGCCAAACAAAACACAGTAGTGACCTCTATCGGCGCGCAGGTGAACCAACAAATTTCTTCCTAAGTGGACGTTATTAAATTGCACCTAAGCATCTTCTTAGGCCACACTTAGGAACCTTTGTAGCAAACCCACTTACGAAGAAATACACAGAGCTTCCTGAATCTAGGTCCAGGAAGGCTCAGGTGGCGCAAGAACAGCACTGAGGTGAAAAATCCATGTGAAAACTTGCGAAACAGAGCGGAAGTAACATCCAACCTGAACGCAAGCTGGAGCGGCTCCGCTAATGCAGCGCGACAGTAAGCGACAGTATTCGGCATGAGATGCCGGTCCAGAAAAAGCCAAGAGAAAGGACAGGACAACCTGGTCCGAACTCGCCAAAAACCTACAAAGAGAAATGAATAGACAGAAAGACCGCTAAGAGAATTCATCCTGTCGCTTCGAAGAAGAGTGCAGGTGGGGACACCATCAAAGAAGTCACCTAAACACTAGAGAAATGTCGATACACCCACATCAGAAGACGAGACGTGAAGTGTAGAGCAGCAAAGCGAACCAGCAAGGTACGTCACTGGCCGATCTGCTGATAAGAGGCGGAACAGCGAAAAGACGCCCGGGTTAGGACACCGACCAAGCAGCACCTGAAACCAAGGGTGGGCCAGGCACCATGGAGCCAGGGCAAGAATCCTCTACTGAGAATGAGTTACAGAAACCCCCACCTCAACCAGTCCTACCAAAAAGCATCTACTGCGACGGCCTCACAGTTGGAGAACAGCGCAATGTACAATGGAAGACGCTGAGACCACACCAACATAAAGGAGTCCACCTCAAGGCAGCCAGACATCCGTGGAAAGAGGAATTAACCAGGACATGCCATCTACCAGAACATTGGACACATCCTGAATGCAAACCCGAACCATGTCCACCTGGAAGGGAAGCAGAGGCACAGACGGAACCAAGGTCAAAGTGACCAATGCCCCCAAATCCTGATCCCTAAAACCCAAATGGGACAGCTTTGGGGCCTCCAACCGGGCAACCAACCTGGCATGTTGCAGGGAGGAGAAGCAAGCTTGCAACACTGCTGCAGCCTGAAACCTCTCATCCGCATACAAGGAATGTGTAAATGAAAGCACAAGCGGAGAACACTTCCTGCAAGACTCCGGGTCGAAGGTGTCATCCACCCAACAGGCAGCGTGGTGGAGGCAGAAAACGTGATCGTCACCCCAAGGCAGGGGCGACAAACAACCAACAATATGACACAAAGCGAGAGTGGACTCGGACAGATCCATGTTACCAACCAAGCCCACAAGGGATTTTCAGGGCCCACAGGGTACGTCAGCCCTATGAGTAACCCAGGCACTGTGGCCAGCTAAGCCTGTAGACTCCCTGTTTGTAAATAGGCAAACTGACTTCCAGTAGCAGTGGTGAAACCTCGCAGGCAACAGATGAGAGCCAACACAACCTAGGCTGGCCTAATAAGCCGCTAAGCAGACCTCCTTCAAAAGAGGGAAAAATACAAAATTAAAAAGAACAAGCCCCCTGAAACAACAACCCCAGCAAACTAGCAGCCAGAGAGAAACATCGGCCGTAGAATAGGTAATAGCAGACTGAGCCAGCTACAGCTCCTCCACCCCCCCAGTCAATAACACTCCCATACCCAGGGCAATACGGAAAGCCTCAGACCACTAACTTACCCCAAGGACGAAGACCCTGTCAAGCGACGAAGTCCTAAACGGAGAGCGTGTCCCGAATCCCCAAGAAAGTTAACCCTGACATGCAAGGGTAGTACTTACGGAGCACCCAGGTAAGGCTACCCAGGGCACATGCAGCTCCAAGTACAAACAACACCTGGCCACCACACCAAGTTGGTACAGCCACACAGAGCAAAATCCAGAACAGGATACCAGGGCCAGAGGTTATGTCCAGCCATCATGCACATCAGATGAGAACTGTGGTGGTGAGATGCTGGCCCAGCCCCTTTCCCCTTATCTGGGTGGGGGGGGGGGGTTTACACCAACGAGTGGGATTAGTAGTTACCTGGAGCATACCTGGAGAGGGTTTTGGGAGTTGTTCTACTCCCCAAGCTTGGCCTGGCTCAACTTGTGATGACTTTGTCCAACAGGCTGTTGCTTGGAACAGCCTGCAGGCCCACGTATCCTCCACAGCCCAGCTAGTTCAGCACTTGTTCTGGCAATATTTCTTATGAGTAGCGATCAAATAGTTCCATAAACAAGAATTTTGTTCTCTAAAGACGTGTTGCCTGGGTTGCATTTTTTGGCAGAAAACTGGTAACTTTGCTCTTTTTCATCCTCTAAAATCTTAAGAAGTGATATTAGTGGGGTCAGCCTAAGGTTTGCCAGGTTGTTGGATGAAGCTGCTTGCAGCCTGGAATATGAATCACAGCCTGATGCAAAGTTTTTTATTGCCCAAATTCACTCAATAAAACATCTAAATTATTATGACTGCTTAAAAACTTTAAATCTGTATTCTCTTAGAGCGCATGCGAGAAATACATAACAATTTACACTTAGGAAATATTAGAGGGACTAATTCGTGCTTGCACTCTAGAAAATAAAGACCAGAGGACATAACAGATTTAGCTTAACTCATAGCCTTTTGCCAGAAGAGAGGCACACAGTCACCACAGAGCAGCTGTTGGAGTAGCAGTACACACATACAAGAGCAGAATGAGCAGTAGAGAGATATGAGAGCATCACAACGCCACATAGTACTGCAGAGCAAGTATGTGTGGTAATGTGACTGAGCTAGAGCGAAAAGTCACAGGAATACATTATCAGGTGGGATTCCCAAGAGCAGGTCCGGTGCAGCGTGTAGTGTTTTGGCGTAGTTACTTTGTTTGAGTTTCTGGCTGTAGGTCACAATTTTACCGGCTAGTTGTTTCTTTTGATTTGCTAATCTTTCTGGGTAACAGCCCCAGTCAATGGCAGAATATGAACTCCTGTTACTGATGAACCCAAACTAATAAAGCACATATCAGTTAGGTTAGCTTCAAGCTACTTAACTGATATGGTCCGGGGCAACCCCCCAAGAAAAACCACTAAACTCTGTGTCTAATCATCCTAATTTACGTACACAAACATATGCAGCCCATCCTCCTGTTTTGGTAGTATCCACTCGATTTAACGGGCTCTTATTTACCGATCTGCCGGTTCTAACGACCGGTTTAGGAGACAGGTATCTGGATCCTCATATACCGGTGTGGCGGTCAACAGAACTGTAGGTCAGTATTGGGTTTGTTTTGGCATCAGGGAGCGTCCCTCACATGGCAAGCAGGCTGCCGACCTCTATCATCCCCTCCCTCACCCTCACTGCAGCTCTTCCCCACACTCTCACTTCAGCTCTCCCCCCTCCCCCACACCTTCATTGTTGCTCTCCCCCACACCTTGAATGCTGCTCTCCCCCCCTCACACCCTGACTGCTACTCTCCCCCACACCCTCACTCCTGCTCTATCCCCCACACCCTCACTCCTGCTCTATCCCCCACACCCTCACTCCTGCTCTATCCCCCACACCCTCACTTCCTGCCTCCCCCACACCCTCACTTCCTGCCTCCCCCACACCCTCACTTCCTGCCACCCCCCACACCCTCACTTGCCACCCCCCACACCACCCCACCCCCCACACCCTCACTTCCTGCCTCCCCCACACCCTCACTCCTGCTCTACCCCACACCCTCACTTCCTGCCTATCCCCCACACCCTCACTTCCTGCCACCCCCCACACCCTCACTTCCTGCCACCCCCACACCCTCACTTCCTGCCACCCCCCACACCCTCACTTCCTGCCACCCCCCACACCCTCACTTCCTGCCACCCCCACACCCTCACTTCCTGCTACCCCCCACACCCTCACTTCCTGCTACCCCCCACACCCTCACTTCCTGCCACCCCCCACACCCTCACTTCCTGCCACCCCCCACACCCTCACTTCCTGCCACCCCCCACACCCTCACTTCCTGCCACCCCCCACACCCTCACTTCCTGCCTCCCCCACACCCTCACTTCCTGCCTCCCCCACACCCTCACTTCCTGCTACCCCCCCACACCCTCACTTCCTGCCACCCCCCACACCCTCACTTCCTGCCTCCCCCACACCCTCACTTCCTGCCTCCCCCACACCCTCACTTCCTGCCTCCCCCACACCCTCACTTCCTGCCTCCCCCACACCCTCACTTCCTGCCTCCCCCACACCCTCACTTCCTGCCTCCCCCACACCCTCACTTCCTGCCTCCCCCACACCCTCACTTCCTGCTACCCCCCCCCACACCCTCACTTCCTGCCTCCCCCACACCCTCACTTCCTGCCTCCCCCACACCCTCACTCCTGTTTTCCCCCCACACCCTCACTCCTGTTCTCCCCCCACACCCTCACTTCCTGCTCTCCCCCCACACCCTCACTTCCTGCCTCCCCCACACCCTCACTCCTGCTCTCCCCCCACACCCTCACTTCCTGCCTCCCCCACACCCTCACTTCCTGCCTCCCCCACACCCTCACTTCCTGCCACCCCCCACACCCTCACTCCTGCTCTCCCCCCACACCCTCACTCCTGTTCTCCCCCCACACCCTCACTTCCTGCCACCCCCCACACCCTCACTTCCTGCCACCCCCCACACCCTCACTTCCTGCCACCCCCCACACCCTCACTTCCTGCCACCCCCACACCCTCACTTCCTGCTACCCCCCACACCCTCACTTCCTGCCACCCCCCACACCCTCACTTCCTGCCACCCCCCCACACCCTCACTTCCTGCCACCCCCCACACCCTCACTTCCTGCCTCCCCCACACCCTCACTTCCTGCTACCCCCCACACCCTCACTTCCTGCCACCCCCCACACCCTCACTTCCTGCCTCCCCCACACCCTCACTTCCTGCCTCCCCCACACCCTCACTTCCTGCTACCCCCCACACCCTCACTTCCTGCCTCCCCCACACCCTCACTTCCTGCCACCCCCCCCCACACCCTCACTTCCTGCCACCCCCCACACCCTCACTTCCTGCCTCCCCCACACCCTCACTTCCTGCCTCCCCCACACCCTCACTTCCTGCCTCCCCCACACCCTCACTTCCTGCCTCCCCCACACCCTCACTTCCTGCCTCCCCCACACCCTCACTTCCTGCCACCCCCCACACCCTCACTTCCTGCCACCCCCCACACCCTCACTTCCTGCCTCCCCCACACCCTCACTTCCTGCCTCCCCCACACCCTCACTTCCTGCCTCCCCCACACCCTCACTTCCTGCCTCCCCCACACCCTCACTTCCTGCCTCCCCCACACCCTCACTTCCTGCCTCCCCCACACCCTCACTTCCTGCCTCCCCCACACCCTCACTTCCTGCCTCCCCCACACCCTCACTTCCTGCTACCCCCCACACCCTCACTTCCTGCTACCCCCCACACCCTCACTTCCTGCCTCCCCCGCACCCTCACTCCTGTTTTCCCCCCACACCCTCACTCCTGTTCTCCCCCCACACCCTCACTTCCTGCTCTCCCCCCACACCCTCACTTCCTGCCTCCCCCACACCCTCACTCCTGCTCTCCCCCCACACCCTCACTTCCTGCCTCCCCCACACCCTCACTTCCTGCCTCCCCCACACCCTCACTTCCTGCCACCCCCACACCCTCACTCCTGCTCTCCCCCCACACCCTCACTCCTGTTTCCCCCCCACACCCTCACTTCCTGCTCTCCCCCCACACCCTCACTCCTGTTCCCCCCCACACCCTCACTCCTGCTCTCCAACCACACCCTCACTCCTGTTCTCCCCCCACACCCTCACTTCCTGCCACCCCCCACACCCTCACTCCTGCTCTCCCCCCACACCCTCACTTCCTGCTCTTCCCCCACACCCTCACTTCCTGCCTCCCACACCCTCACTTCCTGCCTCCCCCACCCTCACTCCTGTTCTCCCCCCACACCCTCACTCCTGCTCTCCCCCCACACCCTCACTCACTTCCTGCTCTCCCCCCACACCCTCACTTCCTGCTCTCCCCCACCCTCACTTCCTGCCTCCCCCACACCCTCACTCCTGTTCTCCCCCCACACCCTCACTCCTGCTCTCCCCCCACACCCTCACTCCTGCTCTCCTCCCACACCCTCACTTCCTGCCTCCCCCCACACCCTCACTCCTGCTCTCCCCCCACACCCTCACTTCCTGCCTCCCCATCCCCCAAGAGACCCCTTCTGGTAGTTGGCTCTGTAGATGCCAGCCAGAAAAGGCCTGGAGAATCTCCATCTAATACAATAAAGCATTCATGAAACAAGTATTTTAATAAATTTTTATTATCCTAATAATATTACTAAACAAAAACTGAAACCAAAAGTATATGATGATGATGTACATCCAGAATTTAAGAAACAAATCTGGCTAACAGGGTCGAGTGTGAAGGCTTATCAGAGTGAGCCCGTCTCTTTCCCCACCACCGACACCCCTTACCCCATCCCCACCATAAATCCCATGCACTCTCTCTGCTTCAAGGTCATGTAGACCTTGAACACCCATCACTCAACACCCATCCATCCATCCATATCCCTCCCTCCATCCATCCATCCATCCATCCCTCCATCCCTCCATCCATCCATCCATCCCTCCATCCCTCCATCCATCCATCCCTCCATCCCTCCATCCGTCCATCCATCCATCCCTCCATCCCTCCCTCCATCCATCCATCCCTCCATCCATCCATCCCTCCATCCATCCATCCATCCCTCCATCCATTCATCCCTCCATCCTTCAATCCTTTCATCCTTCCATCTATCCCTCCATCCATCCATACCTCCATCCCTCCCTCCCTCCCTTCCTTCATCCCTGCGCAGATATGTCCCACAGAGTTATGGAATGAACACTCCAGCCTCATGACAAATCAAAATAATGTGCCGTGAATCTGTGATGTCACAGGGTAGAAGGCACTAGAGTGGTGGACCAAGTGGTTGTCTGTACAAAATATATCTTACCTGAATGTTACTTGAAATATTACCGACATATTAGCAACATAATATTACCGAATAGCATTGAGCACCGAACAACTTCGGAAATACCAGAGCCACGCATTTAACGACCCAGGAACAGCCCCCACATAGGCCGTTAAATCGAGTGGATACTAATTTCAAAGTGTTATACTGTACGACAAAGAGTACTAGAAAAACGGGACACCATGAGCTTAGCTCTCATCCTGTAACTACACTTAGGTAATAACACTTAGGTAATTACAAATGTTTCAAGGAGGTGAAGAGAATAAATTTAGGAATATAACCATAGCATGTGACATAATCAGGGGAGAACACTGACAAACTAAAAGAGTGGAGAGCACCAGGTGTGGATGGAATACAATCCAAAGTTATAAAGAAACTGGCAGAACACCTATGCCTACCACTGAAATTACTTTTCACAAAATCTTTGGACCAAGGGATAGCCCCCCTAGATAGGAAATATATAAATGTCAGCCCTATTTTCAAAAAGGCAGAAAGAGCTCAGCAGGGAACTACCATCCAATCAGCTTGACATCACACGTCTGCAAGCTCATGGAGAGAATCCTAAGGAAGGGAATCATTTGCCATCTTTCAGTGAACAATCTTGTAAAATTGATATATCATGGTTTTTATAGATCCTGCCTTACAAACCTGCTCACTATTATGGAACGGTAACCAACTACTCAAAGGACTTCCGGTTGATGTAGTATACATGGATTTTGCTAAACCCTTTGATAAGGTACCACATGAAAGACTGGCAAGAAAATCATAGGCACATGGAATAAATGAATATTAGAATGGATAAAACAATGGTTAAAAATAAAAACAAAGAGTCATGCTAAATGGGAATGAGTCTGATTGAAAAAATTGTGGTAAGTAGGGTACCACAGGGGTTCATTTTGAAGGCAAATGGAAGGCAACAAAAGAAGTAACCTTGACACCCCACAACAAAACCGCGCCAGTCCCTGAACCTCGGAGGAATCGGCACGTGCCAGTACGCATCCTTGAGGTCCAGGGACCATCCAAGCATCTGGCTCCAACAGAAGACGGACCTGAGACAGAGTAGTCACCCCGAAAGGAGGGACAAGAAACCCATAGGTTCTGATGGGACAAGTCCGGAATGAAACTGAGGTCCGCACAGTCCTGTTTCGGACCGGAAACAGGTGGGAAACCCACCTGACAGACAAGGTCGTTTTGACCACACCCAAGCAAACCCACTCCGAGATGACAAATGACCTACAAATCATGAGACCAGGAGCGAGCAAACAGAGCGAGACTCTCCCCCTCCC